AAAATCAATAACGTAATAAATGATCCATTATAAAATGTTAAAACTATATAATATTTCCGGTATAAAAAGTAAATTTATATTTGTATTGGATAATACGTTTGTTCCTAAAATGGTCGATTTTAGTAAATTTTGTGAGCAAAGAAATTCAAGAAGTGGATTKTAGTTGATTATATAATATTAACGTGTGGTTTGAATATTAAATAACACAATTACTTTTGTTCAAACTTCACTAAATACAAGGTGAAACATAATAATATTATGTTATAACAAGTCACTTTCAAAAATAATAACTATCACAAGTTCTAACGTGGAATATATTATATATAACCTATAATAAATTATAATATAAACGAATGTTAAAATTTAATGAAAGGTGTGTTCAAACACAATTCAAGGAAATTGAATCATTTTACATATCAAAATAGTTAACGTTCTTATTCATCGCGTATTATTGTGTACATGAAACATGTATTTATAGAATCTGGTGTTTTTATAATAATTTAACAATACAAATTCTATAAAAAATATCATTGAATAACTGTGACGYAGGGTAATGGCACAATCAGCATGTAATAGTTCAAATTTGTGTATACGTCCTTGGACAGGTAACTTTTTAATACTAAACCGTTTATGTGCACTTATAAAAATAAATATATATGTACATTGTACATCATTATACGGTCCGTGGTAACAGCTCGGTTGAAGTTTGCTCATTTTTTGGTACAAAAAATTCTTCAATTTCCATAAAAGTTTTGTTCTCGGTCTCCGGCATATTTCTGTAAAGGTATATGAACCCGACAAAACTGAAAACTGCCATCATGAAGAAGGTATTGTTTAGGCCCAAAGCGTTTTCCACGCTTAAATACACTTTGGTCGCCGAAAACGTTAGGATGTAAAAAATTGCAGTGGTCAGACTAGATGCGAATCCTTTGGCTCTATATACGAAAATCATGTTATTACATAATATCTGCTCGTTAATATATGAGGTAAAAAAATGAAAATGAAAATGTTTTATATAATATTAGATAAGTTCATGTATATTACTCGTTAGGATATATCTCGCTGACCAACGTCCAAGGCACGGTCAACATGCCCATAGCTCCAGAGAACATGATGATCGAGTAGAGGACCATTGGCACGTAGGGATCGGAGCTAATCAATTTAGAATTGATAGACACGAAGTATATAGCGAACATGAATATTGCCAGTGTGTTTATGGATAATGTTGATAAAGTCAACATTCGTTTGCCTAATTTCCGCACCGTTAAAGTGAGACCCACACTTCCGGCCAATTGCATAAATCCAAAAAGCACCTTGAATATAATACAAAGTAAATTGATAAAGGAAAAATAATAAGACTATAATTTAGTTACTATATTTTTTTTTTTTCATATTTAGTCTTCATTAAAAAAGAAAAAAACTGTTTAATAAATAAATGTTACGAGATCGTATGCCCAAAAAAATATAAGATGAGTTTAGTTCAATTTATTACCAACTGTGTATTCCGCACCATCTTAAGCAATACATTTAAAATGTATTTAATGAGCACTCAATTTTGTACCGAACTTCACTTTAAATGTATGTTTGAAATACAAAAAAGTGGTATTTAAATTATATATGTTTTGTTTTATTAAACTAATAATTTATTGTTTCCTACTTGAAAATTCATCCATAACTCGTAAGATATAATATAAATGATTAACAGTAATAATTCTATACAATATTATTTTATCATTTTTATACTATAAATAACACATGAATAAGATCGTTTATGTTATGTCTTAAATTTGTAAAAATAATTATTTCATTTTTAACCCGACAATAATAATAATTAATACCTAATAATTAAAGTGTTAAACAAAGTATTTAAGACCAATATATAAAATATTAAAATACTTTACAAGTCTGCAGTTAGCCACTTAAATATACTCACTAAAGATATGCTGTGAGTATCTTTCACTCCCGATTCGTACATTAATTTGACGATGTAAGGACGGCAGGGCGTCAGACACGAAATCAACGTGAATATGTAGTAAACGGTGGCCAATCGTAATGGTCGGTATACCGAAGGGCTCTTGAYCCACAAAAACGACGAAAACAGCCCTTTTGAATCTCTTATCTTTTTTGATTGATCGACAGACGTCTTGTAATAAAACATCAGTTCTTGGTACTCAGTAGCGACGACGCACGGATCAACCCATCCTCTCAGCCAACAAATTGCGTTCATGGCCTTTTCGTTTTTGCCTTTGGACAGCAACCAAATCGGGCTTTCCGGTATCTATATGTGCATCACGAGAACACGGAACGAATTTAATAAAAWGYATTGACTTTAATGAACAGAGAAAACAATTAAAACTTACAAATGCCACGAACGTCAGACACATGACCGGGCACAGTGCGCTCATCGCGGCCACAGTCTTCCAGTGGAAAACGTAACTCAATCCGAAGCTGGACAAGACGCCGATCAGACAGGCCATGTTTATCACGCACGCCATGATTCCTCGAAGTCTGGGTTCGCAAATCTCTCCGATGTACGAATACGCCGGGCCGTCGTTGAAGCCCAAGCCCATTCCCATCGTTATGGTTGACCAGTACAACATGGTAACCGAGTTTGCATACCACAGCAGTATCCAACCGAATATGCTTGGTACGCAAGCCAGAACCACGCAAGACTTCTTACCGAAGTGTTTCTGCGCGTACCCGGAAAGAATACTCCCGATAGGTTGACACAAATAGAGTATACTTCCTGAAAAAGTATATGTCATATTAATTTTTTTTTTTGGCAATGTTTTGACATAAGTATAATGTAAGAATACTGAAAAGAATCGTTTTGAAATAATACGTATGCGACATTGGAGCGTTTAAAAGAAAAAACATTTCGACGAATTTATATATTTTATAGTATGCCGATTAAGAAACTCAATAAAATAGTAAAATATAAAAATAAAAAAACGTCKTGTTAATCATATTATTCTAAATTCCGCATTTACGCAATAAAACATGACATTACCGAAAATTGCTAAAACRCTATACCTAGGTATAAAAAAATTTATGATATATGTATATTGTATATATATATATATTTTTTTTTCAAAATATGTTATACGCTCTAAAATGTTAACACTCGATAATATCGCTTTACGTTTTTTAAGGAATAGTCAATGTTAGCYAACGCATATTTCATGCTTCAGAACTATAAAACGTTATTATAAAACTGACGTTATTAAAGTTGGTACTACAATGAATRCTTCTCTAACTGGCACTTTTAAATAGTGAACACTTCCAAATAGTAGTCATTTTTTTATTTTTGGAAAAAACTATGAATTTTTTTCAAACTGTACCTTCTGCAGAATGTCGAAAACATTTCAGTGACCGATAGTGTCCGGAACTTAGAGGTTTCACTGTATTAAGTATTAATTTTCTTACCGTACCAAGACGACTCGGAATCAGACAGTAAGAATTCGGCTTTTGGATTTTTGTAAAGTGAACCGATTACTACCGTAGCCATCGCCAACTCCATTCCTACGTTTACCAGTAATAAACTCTGTACAATCGTAGCTAGTAGCTTTAAAACAACGTATTAATATTATTAGAATTTCAATCGTTACATAAATTTAAAAATACTCAGAAATACTTTGCTTACCTGAGCAATGGTAGCCTTTCTGCCATACGTGACTTTTGTTCCTAAAACATAATTACCTACTATGAATTCTATTCGATTAAAATCCAGTAAAAATAAATGTGTACATTGTGTACAATATTGTTTACACACCCAAGTCGTCGCCACATCGTATGTCGGTAACTGCGTGGGGCAAGGGAAATTGTCCCATTATAGTACGTTCTTGGCCTCCTCCAAATAGATTTATAACACTGGTCGGGTTGGAATTAAATATGTTGTCAACGCTAAGACACAAATTCAAAATTTAGGTACAAATTATGATTTTTTACCGAAATAAAATTGCTACAATACTTAGAAACTTATAGGATAAAAAAAGAAGATATAGGTACCATAAGAGATTTTTATAATTACCTACAATTAATGTTGATATGATTAAGATTACCATTGCTWTTATACACAACACCACGGCGCATTGTTAATTTATCATATGCAATTGTTATTTATTACTAATATTAGTATTCTTGAAAGATAAATATACTATTAAAACATAATAATTTACTATAACAATTAATTAGGTATAAGAAGTTTTGTGTGTTTGAGATTGGTGAGTAATATGGTTGATTCATCCACATTATACCTAACTCTAATCAACTGTTAAATATTAAAAATAACAACATTTAATTGCATAAGTTCACAAAGAAACTAAAAAATAAAAAATATAGTACATAATATTAATATATATATATATATATAATTTATTGTATACTGTTTATAAATGAATTATCATTTAAAGCTTACGCACTGGTAATGAACAATAATTATACTGTCACACAGAATTTTATCAAACTATTCGTGGAAATATTATTAAATGCAAAAGATAATGATTTAATATTAAATTAATATCATTTAACGTTTGAAACAAGATTGTTCTAAAAATATAGTGATGACTTACTGATCACTGATAAGCTCGTTGAGCACAGTAATAATTGTAATACTTTATACAAGTCAAGGCGTACAGAGTTTTACGAAAAAACAGAAATTGCATATAATATAAATGAAAATCTTAAATATCTAATTATCTCCGCTAGGTTCACGACTGATCTTGCATACGTTTTTCCTTATTATTTTCGTAATATCACAGAATTTAGATAACTTCAGAAAATATATGTAACACTAGACAAATATTACTGATTAAAATTGCCCAAATCTATTTGAAATCACCGAAAGCCAAAAAACACGAGTATTGTAAAACATTAATATGCCACACGGGACCCGCGGATGTCGATGATTTAAATTTAGTTGATTTTTTTTTATTTATACTTTTTTTAACAACTAATTTTCAAAACACATGTTAAAACATAAAATATATAATTCATTATTTCCGTAATTTATTTTACAATTAGCTATATCAATACTTGAATAGTATGTCTCGGAACCAGTGAAAATAGTTAAATAAATTATTATTTATCGTAATATTAGATCAAATAAAACTTGAACTCTTGCTTTGAATAAGGATTTTCAATAAATTTAGCGTTCATACATAATTTAGTTTGACGTTCATCATTACCTATATAATTATTTAAAAGTTAATACATTTATAATATTGGGTTCTTATAGATTTTTCTAAGAATAATTTTAATTTAAATATTTTTTCAAATATTTATCCTAATTGAGGGATTTTCATGGTCTTATTTAATTTATTTTACAAGATCGAAAACGATTTTTTTAGGAAAAATTTCACAACTCGACACATAATTGATGTTATAATATCAGCAATTATAATAATTGATTTACAACTACTTCAGTACCTTCGGTTCCAATAAACAGTTGCGACCKTACAAATAGTTCGGAATCGAGAAYAAACATTATGATAACATTGATTTGAAATTTCCATAATTTTTCGAGTACCTACCCACCCTCATATCTATTTATGTGACGATTGATCACAAATTCACAACGCTACAATATTTTTTTCACGCTTAACTTRGTGCAACAAATTGATAATATATATTATACTTTTATGTAGGGTATTCTCGTTATCGCGTCAGTAATAATAATTATATATACCGTCGTCGTCGGCGAAACGGTCCCGGAGCGACSGAGGCTCCGTCTTACTTAAAATAAATGAAAATCCCTCAACGTTCCTTATTAATTACACCGGTTATGCGCGCTCCCTTTTGCCACTTCCGCCGTAATTTATGGCTTTTGTGTGGCGGTAAAAAACATTTAACAAAAATAATGCATTCTCCAGCCKCCACTTTACCGCAGCGTCGAGATCCCGTTGCTGGTAGGCGAGGATTTTACCCATATTATACGACGTTTAAGAACGCAATAATTTTAACGTATGACCTACACACGCGAACTGCAGACGAGACAAAAACGATCCCGCAGGCTGCAGCCTCTTTCGTCGTAGTGRCGTGGGTAGTGGGGGGGGGGAAATTTTGGGGAATTCGGCGGTTTTCAACCCGACCTCGCAACTGCAATACTACAGTATAATTTATAACGTATTGTTATAGTAATAACACTACACACTGTTACCTGCTGCAGTTCARCTACGACAATATATACCTATCATCACGCGTATACGAGCATTACATTATTATAATATTACCTATGATAATATATTATATTATACAGTTACATTCAACTCGGTCACGTAGTTGCCAACACAGTTTTCCAAGCGTATATTATTATAATATTAATATGTGTAACGCAAGCGAACCGGTGTAAGGTGCAAATCGATCCCGACGAAAATATACGCTGGAACACTGCAGGCTGTAGGCTCGAGACGAGAATGGTCGCGTAGAATACAAAATAGTCAACTTGAATTTTTTCMTCCGTWAGTTTACGTTTACGGGTAAATATGTAGGTAATGTAGGTAGTAGGTATGTCATATGTGTATATTATTATGTATGGCGTAAATACTTATTATATACTTATCGATAAAGAGTATTCATATGAGTAAAAATTTCGTAAATTAAACACGAAAGGGCCCGCTCAAAAACATTACGAATCTGTTTTCATAAAATATCCGGTTTAGGTAATGTCGGATACAGAAAAAAATTACAAGTATATCTTTTTAAGAACAAGAGACTTACTCCATAAATTGTATAAGAAATATAACGTACCTATACGTACTTGGAGTGAAAAACCAAAAATCTCCAAGAGAATATTACGTTATGGTCAAAATTCAAGATAGCTCAAAAAAATTTAAATTTTAAAATTTTAAAAAATAGAATTACCTGGTTTTAGCWCGGGGACACCTTCATATAATATCATATATTAAAATGTGCGTGCGTTTTTGCTTAAAAACGTTGATGTAGTAAATACAAATTCAAGTAAAATTCTTACAGTCACCTAATATATGATGATTAGAATAATATTATTATGATTTCGTATATATTAGTTAAATGATGTGAGCGAATAAATAAATCACATAATATGATGTACCTTTAAAGACGGTCTTGGACGGTTAACGCATTAACACTTAGCCGTAATTGTTCCACGAAACACTGCAGCAGCCAAATTAATTAATATTATGATTTGGTATCGACAATACTATATTAAAACTGCCATCAGAAAATTGAAAAATGTCTCAATACAACATTTACAACTAAATAAATAACAGTATGCTGCGATTGTCACAAAACCTGCACAAACTGAGACAAAATGTTTTTGATTTTTCTCGTTGCATAGTGTATTACGGTTACGATAATTATTAGACTAAGTTCAATGTGCCACGCCATTCATCAACTCGATTTATTGATTTAACATGGACCAATTAATTCTTTATGAAAAACGGTCGTGTGGGGCGTGATACAGAACAATAGTAATAATATAATCAAAGTGATAATTTGGGTATTTATGTCGTTAACAAACAATTAAACGATGACTGCATATACAGAGTGCGTCCGACGTGTATGATGTTATTACATTATTATTCGGTGTTTTTTATTTTTTGTGGCTTTTAAATATWGTGGCAGGAGTGCATTAATCATATCTATAAAACGCTTTACCACCGTTCGCCTAAATGACACTACGTATGGAGAATAATATTATGTTATAATAATTATGTTATGTGCCGACCACTATTATTTCTTATATTCGAGATAGGCTGCAGTAGTCGCCGCATACGGTTATTAATTTTTATCTCGTATATTACAATATTGTAATCGTACAACATTATAATACGTGCGCGGCCGAGTTGTAATGTCACACAATAATATATTATATCATTATAATAAATTATATGSACTGAAAGACCACATTGATATAATAAAAACGAAATCACGAKAAATGCAAAATATCATCAGCCGAGGCGTGTGAGGAAAAGATTATTTGCACGACGTAAAAAAAATATCACAAAACAAAATCAGCATACGGCGTGCATTATTGTGTATAGAGATGTAGAGATACACGAGATTGATCTAATTTTAAAATTATCTCGCGTGAAAAGTTTACTCACAATGGGTAGGTAATATAGTGGGTTTCCGATCGGAATCGTATTCCGGGGAATATGTGTCGTCGTCGTTGCACACGCGTATGGCGAGACATATACGAGTGTAGATGGAAAAATACAGATAAACGATGCGGACACCTGTTGAGCGCATTGTCGGAGGATTATTATTATTTCGTTTCCAAATCCCTTGGACCACGACGTGACAAGAGAAAATATTATATAGCGTTCACGTTGTCCGACGGTGTTACGTTTTAATGTTATAAATGTATAATACATATTATTTTACTATTATAATACTATATTGTTGTAATAAGACATGTACAATACTTGTCTAGAAAAAAAAAAAAAATAAGAAGAGACTTACGGACGGGGACGACACACACGTGGGTGATAATACTATATGCGACGTAGTCTCTGGCGTTTGTCAGTCAGACGTCGGATAAACGGACAACGGCGCGAACGATCGTGATTTACCGAGAAAAGAAAAAAAAAACGAAATTCGTCTCGACTGTAGTACGTAGCACATGTGTATTGTTTTCGGATTTCGACGAAGAAACGACTGTAAGTACTTTTAGGAAGAAAAAATTGGTGTCGAGAAACGCACGCGTTCAAATAACATAATAATAATACAATGATAAAATGCAACGGCGCAAAAATAAGAAAACATCGTACGACTGTACTATCGGATATCGCTCGTAATGCGTCATAATAATATTTTATCATAATTATTTTATGATACGACAATTTTCTGAGCATTCATTAATTATTTTAATAGATCTATAATAATAATTATAAAAATATATTATGATGTTTGGGTATAAACATGCTTTTTCGGTGACTCGTTATTTCCAATTCGAGTGTTATTATTAAACATTACCTAAGTACAAAATAATAATAATTTAATTAATTTATATTATAATACTCTGTTGTTATAAAATAGATGGTCATGTGCCGTATATGACAGTGGTAAAAAAAAAATGTTTTAAAATAATATTTAGGTACTATATTTATATTACTCCACGTATAATAATATGAGGTCAGATATTATTATAATAGTGTATGATTTGAATGTATAGAGGCCCTTGTACACGACTCTGCAGTATCATTACGACGACGACCCTTCTAATAATAATATTATATCATAAAATCATAGGTATATTATGCAAAATGAACGGTAATTTATGTACCGTACAGCGAAGTGTTTAGGCCAGGGTCTTCTTCAAGTTACATTCAAGTATTGTGGATAAAAGGCGGAGACAGTAATTTTATCACGTTATTAAAAAAAGCATCAAGAATTTATTATAATAATTAATTATTTATCAAACAAAGGCTCAGAAAGATTATATTATTTAAATAAGCCTACAATGATATTGTTTTAAATAAGTAAAAAAAAGTTATCTATTATTTTATTATATTTTTATAATTGTCATTTTTTTTTAACAATTATTTAATTTTGGCCTGGGCACAACTATATTTTTTCTAACTGATTTTCGTAACRCTTTATTTATTTACATATTATTATCATAGAAACGCAAATCAACAACAATAATAAAAACACATTTCCAATAATGTAGGGTAATAAATTAAAGTAGATATTTTTCCACTGCACTTTTACCTAAAAGCATGTTTATGATTTCCTTAATTTTTCTTGTAGAGGAAAATTACTAGTAGTATCAGTATGATACTTATAATATATAAAAATTTTTTTTTCATTTATTTCCAATCATCACTATTTAATACTTTAATATTACGTCGTTGTGATTGATATTTGATATAATATGTATAATTATAATTATTATTCATGACCGTCCCACATGTCCACACACACGACAACGTACCCGATATTGTTTCTATTTTTTTTCCGATTTGTAAACGATTCGTGTATTCATCACTCATATCTGTAGTACCACAGCAGCCTCCTGCGTTCCTTGTATATAGTATACAAACTAACCTTAACTAACCTTCTATATAGTTTTCTTTCGTCAAACGCACAACGTCCGATTCGGAACTATTGTAATTACTAATTCGCAGTAAAGTAATTATGGTGGAAGGAGTATGGGGATATATCCCGCCAGAGCTTTTTTTTTTTTTTAAATAACTATAATTACACATGACTAAAATATTTTAAGATTTTAAAATGAGAAATAAGAATTCATGGACATTATCATAGTTGAGATTTTTTTTATTTTACTTGTTTAAAACTACGATACTTCATCAGCTATAATATATGATGAGACAATTTTAAGGCTCATATTTAATACATAACTTTGAAAACCATTATTATACTATTTACCTCATTTAATTAATTAATTATAACAAATGACTATAATAATACTACGATCTATGAAATTTAATSGGCAAGGGTTGGTATGGAAGTATGATCTTCCACTAGAAGGGTAGTATAGACTTATATCCCACCTCAGAACCAATTCCAAATTAAGTCAGTGTCGTAATGATTAGTATAAACCATATTCGATAATTATATATTAATACTATTATACGCATCGTACGAAATGATAACCCRTAACGATAAGTCGGTCAGAGACGGAGATCGCCTTCGGAAACGGACACGTGCAGTTTGTGTATGTGACGTGTGTGCGTTCGTGTCGTCGAATGCTAACGGCCGCTTATTATTATTATTCTATCGGATTAGCTCGATCCGCTCGACTCACGGACGTAACGGCTATAGCCCATATAATAATAATAATAATAATAAATTGGTAGGTATATTATAATACATCGAGTCTGCAGTCCGTGTCCCTACACTGACGATAAGTCGTCATCATTACTGCGGTTGCCACTGCCGCCACGCCACCGCCTGCACTGACTTATATTATATAGGTAATGCATAATATACAATATGTGCCTATATATTTTGCGCTCGTTTAAGGCCTCGCTCGCGTYCACCATTGTTATAATATTATTATTATATTCTACATATTATTATAATACACATCATTGTCATTTGCACGGTCCGCCGACGCCAGTAGCATCACGTTTTCGGCACGACTATCGTCGTTATTTTATTATTATTATTATTATTACACGTGTGCGATATATAACAATAATATATTACACGATTTGGACATCACGTACAATACAACCTTTTCACCGGTTACTAATATGCGTATAATATATATATATATATGCACATAAGTATGTATATGATTATCATTATACATATAGCGCGGTACACGTTTTATGCGATTTACTGCTGGTATTAACCAAGTACACCCGGAAATCACTTATCGTTTAATATATTATTATTATTATGGTTACTTACTGACGTGATTGGCAGTGGCTACATGCAGTGGCGAAAATAGGATTATCTCTCGTGGTCCGATGCCAGCTGTCGCGCTTGTGCAGTGAGTACCTATTGTCTATAGAACCTCGATATAGTAACCTATGTCGACTAAACCAGAAATATCGTGTACGTTATAAATACTACAGTGAATCGTTTTATTTTCGAGCGTGTTGCATTTTTTTTATTTTAGTACTTATATACGAAGGCGATAATGGCAGTGTTTGTTTGTTCAGGATTTAWTTTTACACAGATACTTTTTGGAGTACCTATAGTTAAAAGATTATAGAATCATMATCTCTTCAAAACTGAACCACAATATTATATATTATTATTGATCTCAAAACGGTCAAYTTTAATTGTTCATTATAATATAAAGTTTAAACACAGTAGCTTTAAGTTTCAGAAAAATTGAAACATAACAGAATTTATATGCACAAAAAGGTGTTTGAATTAAATCCTAAACACTTTTGTGTAAACGATATTAAAACGTTTTAAAATGCTCCATATAACTAATGGAGTAATGAATAAACAATATACCTATTACATTTGTTTGTCTTTTCTAAACACAAAAAAATTCTTTAAGACYATATAAATAGAAAACTTTATAATTCTTAAAAATAAAACTATGTTTTTTTCACTATTTARATGTATCTGAATTCTAAATGAATACTAAAGTCACAGAAATGACACAAAATTCTATGTATAATTTATACAAAACAATATTTCTGTGGTGTAGGCTGTATACCTACATCTATTTAAATAATAGCAGTATTATCTTTTCACATTTTGTTAACAATCCGCAGAAACTTAAATAATCTATGTTTATTTAAATTAAACGATTGGCTATGTACTATAAACAATGAAGTGTATTGTTTGCTATAGGGAACAAAGTCTGTATGCGTATGATATGTTTCCAACGCCAAATCAATGTAATTTA